ACCTGAATCACACAAAATTAGGACAAATTATTTCACATTGCAAAACCATAAAGAAAACAAGATTCCATCACAGAAGAGACTTCCGGAACACCCTTAAAACTCTCATAGGTGCAAACCAATCACAACAAACCGATCTAACAGACTATACCAAAAATTCATTTTCAAGATCGACCAAAAAAGAACTATTGTGTCACCCAAATACGACCAGATACGACCATCAAAGACAGTCAAAGCTTGAACGGAAACCACCCCTCTTGCTCGTCCAACGAATCCCAATAAAACGAATCCCTCTTATTATTATACTTTGCTAACGAGCTTTTGCGAGCCGTAACTAATTCCGCCCGCGCTCATTACGAATAAAAATAAATTCCCAGCACTGTCCGAAGTGTCACCGGCAGCGGCCGTGCGGGACAGCGGGGGCTCGTTAAGCCAACCCCCGTCCGGTTAATTAAAACGCAGAGAGCCGTGAGCACGTGTACTTACCGCACAATAAAAGCAACAGATCGGACAGCGCCAGGTTGAACAAGTAATAGTTGGTCGGCGTCTGCATGTGCGGCTGCCTGTAGATGACGATGCATGTGGCCAGGTTGCCGACGACCCCGGCCGTCAGGATCACGACGTACACTATGGTGGCAGGCAGCAGTAGCCTCCAGGACAGATACTTGTCGCCCAGAACCTCCCCAAGGTACTCGGTCTCGTTCAGCAGCTCGTAGTCGGTGATATTCGTGTAGGACGGCTGATCGGTAACGTTCATCGTTCGCGGATCTCTGTCGCCCTGCCCGATCGGAAATCGGATCCACTCCGCCGTCGCCGTCGCGCCACTGGCCACCCTTCTAAGTCACGCACGAGTACTCCTTCACGGTGGTGGCGGTCATGTTTCCCGATAACGTTCCTCCTCCTCCGGGCCCGACCGGCGAAATCATTCGAAGGGAGGCGGGTGGCTGGTTCCGGGATCGTGAGAAATTGTCACGTGTTTCGGCGCGGCCGGGTGCCTCCTCATGTTTCGCGGCGCGGAAGTGCCGCGGTAAAGTGTGATCGAGTTTATCGGGGAGCGGACGTGTCGAACTTTTTTACGTCGCGCGGGGCCCGATAACGGAGGGCCAGGGACCGAGGATCGGAGCTCCGTGGACCGCACTCGAAAGCCCCCGGACCGCTTGGCAAACCGTAGACAAGTGACGTCGTCCCGAACCTTGCTGCTTTTCACCTTCTTCGCGCCGCGCGCCCATCCACTACGCATCCATCCCTCGGCTTCAACCCCCTAGCCCGCTCCACTCGACCAATAATGTCGAGCCCGCGGAACAATTCCGTTTGAAAGCCTCGGCTGGGAAGCGACCCGGACGCTCGCGGAATGGGTCTTCCTTTAAATACGACCGCACCGATTCACGAAGTCTCGACCACCGCGAGACGGAACGGGCATCGACGAAAGGCGAGCCGGATCTTCGAATTTGGACGAATTGAACTGGATGTGCCGCGATTGAGATCTTCGGTCTGTGTCGGAACACCGGAAGTGTTTGTACGTAATGTTGAAAGTGGGATCCGAGATTTTGTGGTCATTTCGTTCGTAGAATCGGACAGTTGATTGTTCTAGTTGACGTTGCACGGTGCTCGGTTTTCGTAGAAAAAGTGGACAAGAAAGCGTATGATAACTGTGAAATTATATATTTAAGTCTTGCTTTTTTTTTCATTTTATATATTACACTGGTATATGTATTGGGATTTGGTATTATTGTCAGATGATTTTTCTAATAGCAGCTAATAGCAGGCAGTTTTTATTTTGTTATTAACGTAAGGCGTCGCTCTTCGAAATGCGATCAAAACGAACACCGAACTCCACATAATTAAAAAATGAAATAAAAATTCAACGTGTTCGATCGAACGTAACTCAACAAATGTGAGAGATAAAAAGTGTCCTGTGACATAATTTAAGTACATACTAAGTGCATTAAATTCTGTAAAAATTATTTATTTTCAAAGAACGAAATAATTATAAACGATGATATTAATTTAGGATGATTTGGAGACGGGCTACTGTGACAAATTGTAAAGAAGATCATAGTAAATAATAAGCCACATGTTTGTGTGTGTGTGATAGACTATTAGTGAATAAATTATCCATTATAGAGATATTTTTTAAAACTGACTTTTTACCGCTTTTTGTATGGAAACCGACCATTGTGCGTCGCCCGAAAATTGCACTGTTCCAATTTTGCAGCTTTTTCGGATCCAATCGTGTTATATCGTTGAAACAATATCCACTTTCCACGTATTCTACTCGAACCTGGAAAGAGTGTCGCAGAGGATTTCCGTGAATTTTAACCATCTGCTGTGGTTAATAAAGTTTGTGATAACGTGGAACTTGGTACTATTGCTTTATTTTATCGTCAGAATTTAACGCGGAGACTCGATTGTTCCGCCAGCCCTTTGCAACGCGAGAGTTTCTCTATTACGAATCTGTGCTGCTTTTTCGAGCCCGGGCATATATGCATGTTCTTGAAACACTTTCCGTGTTCTACAAATCCTATTTAAACTTGAAAAGAACGAACCGGAGTGGATCTATGCGAATTTTAACCATTCGTTGCACAAATAATGGCAACATTTTAAATGCTAGAATAAACTCATGAATAACGAGAACACATGAATTTTTTATTCATTTCATTGGTAGAATCTAAAATAGTATTTTATGGTTCTACCAGCCTTTGTAATCCAAGAATTTCTCTGTCACAACTTTGCAGTTTTCATCGAAGTCTACATACTCTCGAAATGCTTTTCATGTTCTTCGCATTCTGTTCAATCATTCTGTTTAATATGATCTCGATGATTTTTAACTATCCGCTCTATAATTTTATTCGCAGCGAATAAACTCATCAATAACGAATGAATTTTTTATTCATTTCATTGGTAGAATCTAAAATAGTATTTTATGGTTTTACCAACCTTTGTAATCCAAGAATTTCTCTGTCACAACTTTGCAGTTTTCATCGAAGTCTACATACTCTCGAAATGCTTTTCATGTTCTTCGCATTCTGTTCAATCATTCTGTTTAATATGATCTCGATGATTTTTAACTATCCGCTCTATAATCTTATTCACAGCGATGCCGATCAGAACGTTTTCGTCGTAAACGATCCTCTAAAAGATCGAATAAAATTCATTGTTGTTCGCGAGTTCGCAGATCCCCGAGAAAAATATCGCAACCGACTTATCGCATCGCATAATATCGCGCATTAAAACACGGTATATTTCGATACTATTCGAGTACGTCAGCCGCGAGAACTTCGTGCGAGCTCCTTCGAACTTAATCTCGTAAGTCCTGTACGATTTCATTCTCATTTCCCGCAGCTATCTGTACCCGTCGGGCTCGCTCAAATAAACGCGAGCAGCGAGAATTGAAAATGCAAGGATACCCCGGTTCTCAGCAGCACTTTATTACACTTTTAATGGAAGCGGAATACTTTGGAGAACGCGGGCCCGCGAAGGGCGCGGTTAATTAAATCGAGCAATCAATAAACCAGTCAGCCGAGGCTCCTCAAATTTATTCGGCCGGAGTTCTCGCAGCGATGGACGATATCTCGTTGTTCTTAAACGGGAATTCACGCTTTCGGCGACTATCCGGCTGGTTCTCTGATAACATGTGCCGGCGTTAAAGGGTGAATCGGCTGCGATCGAAACCCTCTGGGTCCTCTTCCCTTTTATTTTAAACCAGCGGTCGCGATGCAATCGAGCCGGACCGAAGGTTTATTGGTTCGATCGTTCCACGTCAAAACCGCGGGCTACATATATATATGGCGGTTGGAACGTTGCCGTTGCGTTTCCGCGGAAATGTTAACAGCGGCCACTCCTGCACCCCCCGCGACTGTCCTCCGCTGTATTACATATTTTTATCGAAATTCCGCGAGCTTGCGGTATCGGAAAAACATCAAAGAGACGGAGGGAACAGCGGATTCGAATGGTCGCTCATTGCGCGGGCACTTCGCCGTCGAAAAACGATTCCCGGCACGGCGGAACGAGCGCGTTGTCTCTTTAAATGTGAATTCAATTAATGGTCGGCCCCGGCAGTCGCGTCGTGATATCGTTAAGCGACGGGATAATCGTTACTAAAATATCGACTGCCGGCGAAGCGAGAGCGGCGCTGGATCGCGCGATGGCTGGCAATTAGGCTCGCCAGGAATTTGAAAGATAATAACCACGAGATGCGCCGGGAACGTCGGATCCTCTGTTGCAACTTATTTAGAGCCATCGCGAGATCTCCCGGGCGTTGCTTGAAAGCGTCGGGAATTGTTACGCGATACGCCGATGGCCCGATTAATAATTCCGCCTGTTTATTAGCTCTTGGATAAGGTATACGTGATCCGGGAGCCATAGTCATCAGTTCCGATCCATTAGGGCCCGACGGTGCAGCAAACGCAAAATTTGATAGCAGACCTGGCGGAACGCTAAAATCGAACGACACGTGTTGCACCGTTGGAATAACAATACCGTGTTTATTTCAATCTTATACAAGGAACGACGTGGTTAACACTAAACCTACCGAGCCGGTCAGAATGACCGGTTTTACATTTTGTATTTTAAAATTGCTGAAATTACAGAGTCTTTTTCATAGGAAATTATTAAATGAATTTCACGGTCCGAGTATTCGTTGTAATAAAAATGATGGGAAGTCTAAATATAGATTCGGTTTTATCGTTCTTACAGAGCAACAGAAATTCGTCGTTTTTAGTGCTCGATAGGTTTAGTGTTAAATCTACGCAATATCGACAATTTTTAAACGAATGATTCTGATGGGTTCGGCGTTGAAACAGGCGAACGAACTTCTCAGTGACCGAATTTTCTTCGAACACTTTTCGGCGATCGGATCGCGGTCGCAGTTACAGGCGTCGAACGCGGCGTGAAAGGGTTGAGACGAAGACATCGATTCATCGGTCCTCTTCAATGTCTCCGGAAACCGCGAGCAGCTTCCGGAGACGTGCGCGGCCCTCCTTTTAATCAAGAACTACCATTGTGCCGCGTAATCACGGATCGTGTACCATCCATTGTCTCCGCCCATTCATCTCCAGCCGCGATTTGCATGCGTTTGCATAATCCTCTCGTTTCGAAAGAATTCCTCAGACGAGGGCTGCATTCCGAGCGTTCCTGCGATCGCTCATCCCCGCGGCTCACCTGGTGACACACGGTCGAGTCTGCTTTCGGATGGCGCCGCTGGGAAATCGATCTGGAACTCCAAACTCTCGAGAAAACGACTTTCCCTCGTTAACGTCGCGGTTCTCTGCCAAGATTCCATCTCTGCGAAGTCGTCCGGCAATTAGAGCGAAGTGACTGCTCTTTAATTTCCCACTGTGTTCTGAACTGTTCGTTTGTGTCTGGAAAACGGATTTCTCTCCTTATCGTCGCGGTTCTCTGTCAAGGTTCCATTTCTGCGAAGTCGTCCAGAAATTAGAGCGAAGCTAGAGTGACTGCTCTTTAACTTTTCACTGTGTTCTGAACTGTTCTTTTGTGTCTGGAAAACGGATTTCTCTCCTTATCGTCGCGGTTCTTTGTCAAGGTTCCATCTCTACCAAATCGTCGACCAATTGGAATAACGGTGAAATAGCGTCCACTGTCCTTCAACTTCTCACTGTCATTAAAATTGATCTCACGAGTCCGGAGAGCGGTTTTCCTCCTTATCGTCGCGGCTCTTCGTCAAGTTTCCATCTCAAACAAATCGTTGACCGATTGGACCAAAAGTGAAATAGCGTCCACTGTCCTTCAACTTCCCACTGTCATTAAAATTGCTCTCTGGACTCCGGAGAACGATTTCCCTCCTTATCGTCGCGGTTCTTCGTCAAGTTTCCATCTCAAACAAATCGTTGACCGATTGGACCAAAAGTGAAATAGCGTCCACTGTCCTTCAACTTCCCACTGTCATTAAAATTGCTCTCTGGACTCCGGAGAACGATTTCCCTCCTTATCGTCGCGGTTCTTCGTCAAGTTTCCATCTCAAACAAATCGTTGACCGATTGGACCAAAAGTGAAATAGCGTCCACTGTCCTTCAACTTCCCACTGTCATTAAAATTGCTCTCTGGACTCCAGAGAACGATTTCCCTCCTTATCGTCGCGGTTCTTCGTCAAGTTTCCATCTCAAACAAATCGTTGACCGATTGGACCAAAAGTGAAATAGCGTCCACTGTCCTTCAACTTCTCACTGTCATTAAAATTGCTCTCTGGACTCCGGAGAACGATTTCCCTCCTTATCGTCGCGGTTCTCTGTCAACGTTCCATCTCTACCAAATCTTCGTCCAATTGGAGAACGGCTTCCACTGTTCTCGAAGACCCTTTTATCTCCCAAACCGACACGTAGCGATTATATTTAAACATCGCGTCGCCAAAAATGAAGCCTGTTTTTGAATCGAACGACATTACGGAGGAAAAATTGTGACCGTGCATTGTCAGAATTTCAGGTAAATCAATTTTCACCATTTTTAAACGAAATCGGTGCATTAGATCAGTCCATCGGCCCGGACGCATTACGGACCAAGGCTCGAATTAGGTTCGCGTCGTACCAATTAAATGACGTTGCAGATGAAGAACTGTAATTAGATCGTCTAATTCCCGGATTAGTTGGCGTTCACTGCCCGAATCGGATCGAATCGGACCAGTTAGGATCCAATGGTTACTTAGATCCTTTGGACCAGTTAATTCCGGATTAAGTCTTCATTCTGTTTCATATCTAATTAAGATTAATTCCCGGCGGTCGGATCGGACGCAATTTAAACTATATATTGAATCTTGAGCGACTCGTAGCAGGCCCGTTGACTCAATTTTGCGGCGCTGCTTCGGCAAAAGCGTCGTCGAAACAGTGTCAGAAACTTTCTTAAGACGTAACTGCAGTAATGTCTCTCCAATTGACGCCCAGATCGCGCACAAAAATGGACAATTTGGGAAGAGGAGATACGATTATTCGAGCCTTGCGGTTCATTTTTATTGTTACAAATTGTCCACGATTATAAAAACGAGCCGCAAGGCTCGAATAATCGTATCTCCTCTTATCCACTTTAGTGGACAATCTGAGCGTCAGTAAGGGAGACATTACTGTACTTCTATGTCGTAAACATCCAGGTGACCATAATGGACACTTTGCATCTCGTACTCGATCTCCTTCGTCTCGACGTCCTAATTCGACATTCCTCTTGATCAACGGCCGAAGCTCGTCGATCGCCGGGGTCGATCACTCGGTCACGATCTTCTTCAAATCGTTAATTCCGGACGGCTTCTCGATCCGAAATCGAACCGCGTACTCTCTGGGCCGTCGGAAGAGGTACTCGGTGATCTCGCCGCGCGTGTACAGAGCGTACTCCATCGCCTGCCTGGGCAAATGGGTCTGATGGAACCGGCAGAGCGGACGATCCTCGTCGCACCTGGCATCCGCGTCCTCCGCGAGCCTCGCGTACGAGTCCAGCAGCAATATCAGCGTGCCAAGTGTGAAAACGTAGAGAAAGAACTGAAAAGTATTTTTATAGTTCCGGTACTTCCGTTGTGCTGGCTGCCGCCGCAGCCGCCGTTGGAATTTCAATTCCGAAAGTTTGATCTATTATCACACACAGGCGTCGTGTATTCGCGCGGAGGAAACCGGGACGGGGCGGTGCGCGGAGTTCGTGACGAAAACGAGCCAGCCAAGTTGATTTAATGGAACTACCGACGCGGTGAATGTTTTCGTTCTGTATCGAGTTAATGTAACGAGAACACCGTAGCGCCGCCGAGAAACGAAACCGAGACTTTGCACAATGGGCTTAATGAACACGGCTGATAATCAGCCTGCGAATAGTTGGCGGGATTTGAATCGGATTTGCATTCGTCGAGGCTGCGACATTTCAGTCGGCTGACGCGAAACGGCGATTTTAAGAGCGCCGGCTTTTTTCGCGGTTGTCTCCGTTTTTTTAAATGTTTCGTCGAACGCGACGTATTGTAAATTCTGCATGATTGTAAATTCTGCTCATCTTGGAAATACATCTTGGAAATAATTGTTGACTATATTAATATATATATAAATATATTATATATATTATATATATGTTATTATTATTATTACATATTATATATAATATATAACATAAACATAAATATATTTATTATAATATATATATATTATCTCTCTCTCTATATATATATATATATATAATAATATAATAATATTAATATTATTAATAATATATAATAATAATAATAATAATAATAATAATATAATATCTAATATAATATAATTATATTAAAATATAAAGTAATATATACGTAAATATAAAAAATATATATAAAATAATATAATAATCGTATCTCCTTTTCCCAAATCGTCAACAAATTCAGCGTCAATTAAGGAGAATTCACTATACCTCTTTTGTGAATCATTGAAGCGATTCAGCAAAGGAAACTCGCGGCCTCCTTGGATACTGTGTCATACGTAGACTGCGGATCTTTATGCAGAATAAAAAATGTCTGGATCGATTGCAAGACAAATGAGCCAAGTGTAATTTTCTTTCTTTATAACAACGTTATTAGAGTGAAATTAATAGCTTAGCTTCTTTTCCTAGGTTCTTTCGTTCTTTTCACTGTCTTCAGTTCTAACCACTTTTGGCATAAATGCGTAAAATTCGCGGGCTATGAATTTCAAGAGCGACGTGCATAAAATACAGTGGCACACAAAAGTGTTCGTACAACTTTTAAAACGCAATAACTTTTTCAAAACTGGACTAAACGAATTGAAAAGTTTTTTGATTTACATTTATATTATTTTACATTATTTTATATATAATATTATTATAAATATCTTTATTTCTATTTTGTTGTCATTCCAGGTAATAACAAAATTTAAATAAAAGAGCATTTCAGTCATCGTCTAATAGACTAGTACCTCTATCATCTAAAAAAAGGAATTCAAATCATTTAGTTCAGTTTTAAAATGATTATTTCGTCTCAAAAACTCTACGAACACTTTTGCGAGCCACTGTACATTTTCAAGCGACAAATACATTTTTGATCAGCCATAATTGTTCCAATAAAATAATCCCGATCTCTTCTGAAGGATCAAAAGCAAAATTGAGCCGTTTATTTTGAAAGTGGCATAAGTCACTTTACCGTAATGAAAAGTGGTGATTTTTTAATGTTTATACGAAATTATTTATACTGAGAAAAATATCAGTATCTTGAGATAACAAATACAAGTAAATCTTCTCGAAAGTTAGCATCCATATTTTTAAACGTGTTAAAACGCAAACCCTTAAATATATCGACTTAGAAACAAAATGACTTATGCCACTTTCAAAATAAACGGCTTAATTATCGCGTCCATATCGACGCTGCCCAAATCGAAGAGTTAGCGTAACAAAACGAAAAAGTTTCGACTGAAATAAAAAAAGACAGCGTCGCCGTGTGCACGAGGATCCGCGTATCTTTGCCCGGATCGTTTCAGCCACGAACTCGTAGATCCTGCGATCGAGGATCCAAGACCGAAGGGCGCACCGATCTTTCTAACCAACGCGCGTGAACGCGGACAAAAACGGAAACTTTCCCGGAGCTTTAACGTGCGCCCGTATTTTACCTTCGACGTCTTCCGACCGAGCATAATAGCGTTACGTTTCTTCGTTTTTGTCCTTATTCAGTCTACGGGGAAGCTTTTAGGCGATAAGCAGTGGATTAGAAAATGTTCGGTCTGAAAAAGGAAATGAGGAAAAATCAATAGAAACCGCGGGAGCTGCGACAGGGGGAATGGGCGAAGGGGGGACACCGACGAATCTGGGAGCGTCAATGTTTGCGCGAGGCAACGATATTACCCATTGCAGAGCCTTCTGCCCGGTTAATTGTCGGAAAATTGTTTGAAGAGCGACGAGAAGAACGCATCGGTAGATCCAGCGGAGAGTCTGGATCGCGACGATGGTAATCGTTACTGCGGAACAAATTAGGGATTCCAGGAGGAGCACTGGCATTCTCGCATGTCTCGGATAGTTTTCCTAACATTCTCGGGTGCATGTGTGCGTAATATATTGCCGGCGGATGTATTAACAGTACGGGTTAATTTAGGTTACATCATGCATTCCGACGCCTCGAAACTGCCGCCTCTCTCTCCCTCTCCTCCTCTCTCTCACTCTCTCTCACTCTCGCGTTCGTTTGTTCGATACAAAAATTACCGCCGTGCCCGTAGAAAACGATCAAATGAACATCTTCGCGGAGAACACGCCGCGTCCCAGTTCTCGCGGAACGTTTAATAAGAGAAACAGAATTTCTCGCGGCATTTTAAATCGCCGACTCGGTTAAAATGTAAATTTGTAGAAAAAAAACACGAGCGGGATAGACCCGAAGCACGCGAGCTTTATGTTCATTATAACCGGTCCACGCGGGCGGCCGGCTCATTTTTCAGTAATTCATTTCTCGGCGCGCGTTAATTCGTCAGAAGCGGAATAACGTCGGACGCCGACTTTATATAGATTATTATTAGTCGGCGCGAACGAGAAACTCGACGAACGGGGGAGTGAAAGAAACGTGCGCGTCGAAATTCTTGATCCATCAATATCCGAGCCGATTCTATTCCGCGGCTCGACGGAGTGCCGATCCGATCCGACGGGGACGAAGTTTCATCATTAACTGCAACGGAGAACTTCGGCGAACGGGATAAATGAATTACGCGCGAAGGCAGTCGAAAACGCGGACCGTAATAATCCTTTATCGGAGCCGCGGAGTCTAGCGCAATGACTTTAACGCGACGTTGCGATGCAGCTCCGCGATCTCTGTCTACGTCGGTGTCTTCCCGTCGTTGCAATTAGCCACGTTTATCGTTCAATTTCGTCCGAAAATTGATTTTTCATCGCTGCGTACGTTTGCGAGAGATTCGAATAATTTAGAATGCCTCCATTCGAATCGGCGGATTTTTATAATATTTTTATAAATACAGGGTGTCCCAAAAATGTCTCGCAATCCGGAAATAGCGGGTTCCTCGGATCATTTGAAGTAACTTCTTCCTTTATAAAAATGTTCTCCGAGGCACCGTTAACGAGTTATTAACGAAATACAGTGACCAATAAGAATCGAGTACGGCTGACGCGAGGCGGCCCGGCCAACCGGCGCGCGAAGCCCAGTTCCGCTCATTGGCTCGGTCGCCTCGCGTCAGCCGAGCTCGCCTCTCATTGGTCACTGTTTTTCGTTAATAACTCGTTAACGGTGCCTCGGAGAAAACTTTTGTAAAGGAAAAAGTTGCTTCGAATGTCCCGAGGAACNTTTTAAATCGCCGACTCGGTTAAAATGTAAATTTGTAGAAAAAAAACACGAGCGGGATAGACCCGAAGCACGCGAGCTTTATGTTCATTATAACCGGTCCACGCGGGCGGCCGGCTCATTTTTCAGTAATTCATTTCTCGGCGCGCGTTAATTCGTCAGAAGCGGAATAACGTCGGACGCCGACTTTATATAGATTATTATTAGTCGGCGCGAACGAGAAACTCGACGAACGGGGGAGTGAAAGAAACGTGCGCGTCGAAATTCTTGATCCATCAATATCCGAGCCGATTCTATTCCGCGGCTCGACGGAGTGCCGATCCGATCCGACGGGGACGAAGTTTCATCATTAACTGCAACGGAGAACTTCGGCGAACGGGATAAATGAATTACGCGCGAAGGCAGTCGAAAACGCGGACCGTAATAATCCTTTATCGGAGCCGCGGAGTCTAGCGCAATGACTTTAACGCGACGTTGCGATGCAGCTCCGCGATCTCTGTCTACGTCGGTGTCTTCCCGTCGTTGCAATTAGCCACGTTTATCGTTCAATTTCGTCCGAAAATTGATTTTTCATCGCTGCGTACGTTTGCGAGAGATTCGAATAATTTAGAATGCCTCCATTCGAATCGGCGGATTTTTATAATATTTTTATAAATACAGGGTGTCCCAAAAATGTCTCGCAATCCGGAAATAGCGGGTTCCTCGGATCATTTGAAGTAACTTCTTCCTTTATAAAAATGTTCTCCGAGGCACCGTTAACGAGTTATTAACGAAATACAGTGACCAATAAGAATCGAGTACGGCTGACGCGAGGCGGCCCGGCCAACCGGCGCGCGAAGCCCAGTTCCGCTCATTGGCTCGGTCGCCTCGCGTCAGCCGAGCTCGCCTCTCATTGGTCACTGTTTTTCGTTAATAACTCGTTAACGGTGCCTCGGAGAAAACTTTTGTAAAGGAAAAAGTTGCTTCGAATGTCCCGAGGAACCCGCCACTTTCGGATTGCGAGACATTTTTGGGACACCCTGTATAAGCTTGCACGCGTTAACGCTGGATTTACCGAACCTTAAAAATATGACTAATATACATTGTTTCGTAGCAATGTCAAGATTGGATATATTTAAACTTCCTACGATTTTTATTATAATATTTGCTTGAACACACACACAGAGAAGCTTGTTACTGACAAAAATATTTTTATACTGTCAGGGATAATAAAAGAAGAAAACGTGAAGCGAGTTATTCTGACCGGTTCGGTGCTTGTCTCTGCTACTAAGATCGACTCGGAGCAGCTAACAATTTAATTAGCGGTAAAGGCTGCAGTCTGATTCGCGTGAATCTAGGCGGTTAAAAATTCTACAAATTGTACAAAGAGTGTACAGTAATGTCTCCCTTACTGACGCTCAGATTGTGCGCAAAAATGGACGATTTCGGAAGAGGAGATACGTCTCTAGGAGCTTCGCAGTCAGCTTTTATAGTTGCCGATTATCAACAATCATAAAAACGAGCCGCAAGTCTCGAACAATCGTATCTCCTCTTCCCAAATTATTTATTTCTCTGCACAATTTGAGTGACAATTAGGGAGACATAATTGTACACACATCTGATCCCCTTGATACACGAGGCTGCCAGATTTCGTGGCTCGAATGTCGAAGATTGCGAACGCCGGCCCGGCAACGAAGTTCCATCGTTGCCAAGCGGACGGCTAAGACGTCGACAAACTTCCGGTATTGTCGGCGACCCGATTCTATCATCTTTCCACGAAGTAAGCTCATTAAGAAGTTCGAAATCCTTCATCAATCGAAACGGGGAAACTCGACGGGAAGCAATTGCAGTGCTCGATGAAAAGTGTCCACGTTGAAAGAAGAGAAAGGAGAGGAGAAATTGGTAGTCGCGGAGAACGCAGCTCGCTGTTTCCGTCGCCAATTTAATCATCCGCTCCTCGCTTTTAATAATTTCGTGCTGGTCGCGCGATAAAGCGGCCGTACGGTTCGCGGGCCGACAGCTCGATGAATTTTTCAAGCGTGCCTTGACGAACCGCGCGTGATCTCACAAGCAGAGATCCCGATCTGGAAAGAAGGAACGGGGATGAAAACGAGGCCCCGAGAAGTGGGAGTAGCCGGAAGTTGCTACACCGAATTATTTATCCGCGAATCCGGGCCAAGAATTATATTCCTCTCGCGTTCGCGACGTCGCATATTTATCCGCGGTCTTATACGTACAGGGTGTCTCGAAAATGTCTCGCAATCCGGAAATGGGAGGCTCCCGAGGTCATTCGAAGCAACTTTTTCCTTTGCGAAAATGTTCTCCGAGGCTTCGTTTACGAATTATTAACAAAAAACACTGACCAATAAGAGGCGAGCTCGGCTGGCGCGCGGCGGTCCAGCCAACGAGTGCACGGAGCCCGGTTCCGCTCATTGGCTCGGCCGTCACGCGCCAAATGATCTCGCCTCTGATTGGTCACTGTTTTTCGTTAATAACTCGTAAACGAAGCCGCGGATTGCATTTTCGCTAAGAAAAAAGTTGCTTTAAATGACCACAGGAATCCCCTACTTTCGGATTGCGAGACATTTTTGCGACACCCTGTATTTATTCCCGGGCCGATTCGGCGCCGATAAATATGCGATATGAAATTACGTTGACGCCCGTGTATTCCTGTCTCTCGCGGCGGGTAGTTCACTTTTTTTCCCCGGGGAAATAGGGCCACGCGGAACGCGGGCATTTCTTTACGTCGTCGGGAATGCTTAACGATTCATCTAACGGCCGGTGACTTCGCGGTGAAAGATCGAGCATCGAGATACATATTGTTAATCGATGCTTCGACTGTGGCGACAGTTTCGTTCGCTAATCAACGTCGCACGATCTAATAATTTTCGGGTTTCTCGAGTTTTCAATTAATTGTTAAGTTAAGTTGTTAAGTTCTTTCTCGAGGCACGACGCTTTTACGATACGCTGTTTAAATATCGTTTAATAATTTCTGACGGAATTTCTACTGAAATGAGAATGATTAAACTTCTTAACATATTAGGCAGATTAATAATTGGATAACGAGGCTCGGGTCCACGTGGACCCAGGATCTAAAAAGATTTTAAACATCAAGTTTCCGACAAATTCTCGCAAGTTTATTTCAAGTAAAATAATCAACGTGTCTAAGAGTGCCTTAAAAAATATGTTTAAAAAAAAGTAATAATTGTTAAAGTGTTAAACAGTGTTAAAAACGTTCATCGATCGAGTCATTTAACCTAGCACAGGGAAAAGTGGCAACACATTTGAGTAGCTCGAAGAAATCTTTCTCCCTCTGAAAGCTGGCCCGCGAGTGTCACTTGCCCGCAAAACACTTAATCTCCCTCCTTAGCGGCGCAATTTCATTTCCACCGTCTCGCAAAACATCGCCGACACACCGTATCGTCTCAGCCCCCGTGACTTCGCCTAGTTTCCATCCAACAGGGATGCACCCTTGACATAACGCCGCGTTCCCGAAAACGGCCGACGCGGTCGGCGAAAACGGTGCGTCACAGTTTTTTAATCTCGGACGGTTAATTTCGCTGCTCTTTTTTTTCGACGAGCCGAGCGGCGATGAAAGGTCGCTTGTAATCGAGCGGCGGACGCAATTTTCTTAACGCGATGCATATTATGCCATAAAGGCTCGCGTAGATAGCAACACGCGGCGCGTAACAAACCGACGGAACGGAAACAAATGAACAGGAGGGACCCCGCGGCGACTAATTAACTGCATCGTCGGCACTTTTATTAAACACGCGATACATTCTGTGCGATGCGACGACGTCGAATCGAATAAAAATCAGCCTCGCGAACGAAAATCGGCTCAGCCGTGCGACTAATCGTCAGAGAATAAATAACAATCGTTTCATTTACGTCTAGTATTTACAGCGAATCGCGAAGCAGTTCCGGACCGTGAAAAAAATTCGCGAGCGGGGGTTGGACGGAACAATGAGAACACCTCTTATAAACGGTCTTTAAGGTTTACAATACGCTGCGATGCTTTCTGAACTTATGCGATAATAATATTTGTTCGGAACTGTGAATGGATGCATGCCAATAATTATGTTGACGTTAAACCTACCGGTCGAGATGGCCGGTTTGACAATTTTTAATTTAGAGTCGCTGATATTATTACATAAAGATTTCTCCAGAGGTAGTGACTGAATTTTCTGAATCCAAACGCACATTACAACAAAAATAGCTGGAGCTCTAAATAAATACCTTTTATCCTTATAACGCGTTCGTTGCTTTTAGGACTCGTTATACACTCAAACAGTTAATACAGGGTATCCTATAATTATGTTAACACCTGGAAAGGGGAGATTCCTGAGGTCGTTTGAAGTAACTTTTTCCTCGGCGAAAATGCAATCCGCGGCTTCGTTCGCGAGTTATTAACGAAAAACACTGACCAATGAGAGGCGAGGTCTGCCGCCACAGGGCGGTCGAGCCAATCGGCGGAACTAGCCTTGCGCCAGCCGAGCTCGCCTCTCATTGGTCGCCGTTTTTCGTTAATAGCTCGTAAACGAAGCCGCGGATTGCATTTTCGCAAAGGAAAAAGTTACTTCAAATAATCTCAGGAATCTCCCATTTCCCGGAAGCAACATAATTCTGGGACTCCCTGCATATTAACCTTTTGAAACACGCAATCGATCCCTATGACCGCAGAAAAATTATCATTTCTAAGCTTAGCTCTCTTCAATGCTTAATCTTGTTTCACAGAGGCACTAGACAAGTTCTCCTCGTTGCAAAATAAAATAGACTTATAAGAAAATAGACTTAGAATAAAGTTATCGTTCGCAAGAGCCTGCAAAGCTGTGGAACGCTGTTATGAACCGAGGTGATTCTATCCCTGAGAGAACTCAAGATCTATTCACTGCCAAAGGCGCAGTGCAAACAGATGTTCCCGCTAGATGTTCCCATTGTTTCGTCCAACTTCTGTAGACCGTGATCGGTTAATTTACAGTTAGTATTTACAAAGTTTCGATTCGGCGATACAGTTCTAGTTACAGTTCCCCCAGGGAGGATTGCCGCGTATCATAGATTGCTGCTCGCGGTCGACATGGACTCCTCCGCGGTCTTCTTGGACGCGTCGCTCTTGTTGCTCGCCTGTTCCCGAGCTACGGTGTGTGTTCGCTCGAGAAGGATCTCGTTCGTGCCACCGTCTCTGGCAACGCTCTCCCGGCTCGCCGTGAATCGGAACATTTCTTTCGCCTGGATGATGGTGTACCTGCGCAAAAATCGCCGAATTATTCACGGCCGTTCCCACGCACGCCCGGATGCCCAGGATCGGGTAAGAGGAGGAAAGCTACCACCTCACGGAGTTCTTGAAGTTCGAGCCTCGGGCTTTACCGGCGGGACTGGTTTCGCGCATCTGCGGCTCCCTGGGCCAGTTTCTTGTCAGCGACCTCTTAGCTTCGCAGCAAATCGTCTCTCTGAACGCCTTACGGAACTTGATGCTCATCAAATTGTAGAGAATTGGATTCACCGTCGTGCTGAAATAGTACAGGCAACCGCCCATGAAGTACAGCCACTCGTTCAGGTCCGGATAGTAGTCGGAGCCCCGACCGTGCACGTAGAGCAGGCGCTGCGCATGGAACGGGGCCCAGCAGATGAAGAACATGATCACCACTGCGCCTGCAATCGCCCCGGGCATTTCGTTAGGTCTTATTTATATATAATGTAAATGTATATATGCAATAATATATATGAAATATATAATAATGTATATAATAATATATACAATACAAATAATAATATATATAATAATATATACAATAGATATAATAATATATATAATATATATAATAATATATAACAATATATATAATTGTGTTCTTTTACAATCGAAGAATAATAGTAGAATAATAGAATAATAGAATAATAGTATAATAGAATAAAATAAATAATTAATAGAATAGAGAATAATAGAAGAAGAAGAATAGAATTTCTTGGACAGTTGTTCAGATGTAATTTCATCTATCTAACTATAATAGAATAATAGTATAATAGAATAAAATAAATGAATAATATAATACAATAAAATAAATAAATAATACAATAGAATAATAAAAAAAGAGTAGAATTTCTTGGACAGTTGTTCAGATGTAATTTCATCTATCTAACTGTAATATAGAATATCAATGTAATTTCATCTATCTAACTATAATAGAATAATAGAATAATAGTATAATAGAATAAAAAATGATAATAATAGAATAAAATAAATGAATAATATAATAGAATAAAATAAATAAATAATAGAATAGAATAATAGAAGAAGAAGAATAGAATTTCTTGGACAGTTGTTCAGATGTAATTTCATATATCGAATTATTCCGCTTAATAATGAAGGTAACAGCTTCTTTTGAAATTGTTATTTCGAGAAAATGATCCAGCTGCTTTCACAACTAGTCACAACTCAGTTATTGAAAAGCCTATGAATAGTCTTCCGGTAAATAAAGTCTCAAGACTCGACATCTTCTTCAAGCATTTCTTTGTCCACGTTCTCCGTAATTCCTCCAAGACTACTACAACTATGTAATTTGCAATCGACGAGTTTGAACTCGATTGTTCCCCAGAAAATCACATCGTCGTTCACTAAACTCCCAGGGGTCTTCAGATATACAGTAAATTCTCCCTAATCTTCCTTCAGCTTGTAATCAAAAATGGACAATCTGGAAAGAAGAGATACAATTATTCGAGCCTTGCGCCTCGTTTTTGCAATTAATAATCGTATCTCCTCTTCTAAAATTATCCATTTTTGTTTGCAAACCGAAGAAAAATTAGGGATAATTTACCGTAATCCTAATTCGGAGGAGCCATTTTTCATATCGAACAGTGATTGTCGCTGACGACTTAGACTCCGGTGGAAACAGAATCGCGTGAGACAGGCATATAGATGATAAAAACAAATCACGACATACTAAAATAGTAGAATAAAATAAACAAACGAAGAAATTAAGCTGCGCTTTTTACTCAGCATTCTGATGACCGATTTCCGGGATTGTGTCTGCCTGGACTCGCCGTGGATCGCGCCGTTCACCACGGAGTTCAGAGCGTCCTGCGTGCTGCTCCGGATCTTCAAGCCCATTCTCGTGTAAACCAGCAGGATCACCAGCATCGGTATCGAGAAGAAAATGATGCTGCTCAGCTCGTAGATAGGGAACTTCGGCATGTCGGGTAGCAGCATGGCGCATATCGCCGAGTCGGCCGAGTAGTTTCCCGATCCTGGTTCAGAGAAACGTTTCCTTGAAATTGCTGGGAGTTTGCTCGAACGTGGAATAGAGAACGTCGATCGTTCGGAACATAATAATTAACCTGGCGGGAACTCGACCAGATTGACCTTTGTGTAAACCAAAAAAGGTGACGCGCAGATCAGCGCAATCGTCCACGAGGCCAAGATAAAGCGTATCGGTCGTTTCAGGCCGCTCATGGTGTACACGTGCAGCGGATGACAAATCGCCAAGTATCTCTCCATGGAGAACGCCACTATGGTGATCACCGACACGTACGACGACCTACGGTAACAATCCGGTCGCTTCATTCATTAAAGTCGCGACGAGGCACGGAAAGATCGCGAGCGAAAAATCGTCTACGCTCTGTTCGCCGTTTCGATAGCGACACGCGAATGCAATACACGATTCTTCGGTAAGCAATCTTGAAGACAGAGAAAACGATACGTCAATGTTTCGGTAGTTCACGCGAGAGAGAAATAGTTCATTTTTAATGCTGCTGTTCTCCTCCATCATTCCGGACATTTTTCTATGGAGTTACAAGAGTCTCGAACACGCTTCGGTAGCGTTTGCATTTTTAACCATGGCTACGTTGCCCCCGCTTTCCTCGAGTCGCAAGTGTTGCCCGGGTGCTTTCGAAGAAAATTATACGAAAAATTTATAACGAAGTCCTGCTGAAATTATCTCGCGAACAGTGGATACGCGAATAAACTGTCCGCGCCCATTGCGATGCTATCGCCGCCCATTACAATTCTATTTTCTCAGCGAGTTGGAAACGATGTAACGCTATTTTGAAATCGTTCAACCCTTTGTGCAACTTATTTCGGAAATTGCAATAATTTCATCGCGCGCGTTATAATAGATGAAGATCGATTGTGCATTTTATCATTGTTTCTTTGATAACAAAATAAATGTGGGGATAAAGGTAATCTAGGTCAGTTTAATCTATCTTTTTCGAGGAAAATATTTTTAGAACCTTAAAAAATCCTCACGATAATGCTATAATATTATAATAATACCGTAATGTTATAATAATACTATAATATTAGAATAATACTATGATATTATAATATATATAATACTGTAATATTAGAATAATACTCTATAAAAGGTGAAGATCAATTGTTCATTTTTTCATTATTTAAGTCTTTGATAATGAAATAAATGTGGCGATAAAGGTAATCTAGTTTAATTTAATCTAGTTTTTTGAAGAAAATATTTTTAGAACTTTAGAAAATCTTCGTAATAATACTATAATAATAATAATAATAATAATAATAATAATAATAATACAATATTATAACAGTACTATAACATTATAATAATACTACAAAAAATGAAGATCGATTTTCATTTTCTCATTATTTAAGTCTTTGATGATAAAATAAACGTGGTGATAAAGCTAATCTAGTTTAATTTAATCTAGTTTTTTGAGGAAAATATTTTTAGAACTTTAGAAAAGCCTCGTAATAATACTATAACAATAATAATAATACCATATATTATTATAATAATACTATTATCTCATAATAATGCTATATATGTATAATATAATAATTAATAACAATTGTATCGTTTTCGATTTGATCGGCAAATAAAAAAAATAATAAAATGCCCAATCGGTTGCAGCAGCGGCCCAAGAAATTCAGGCTCGCGTAACACAGAGAAGAACAGCAGTATGATCTCGCGAGCACTAGGCTGAAGAAAGCCGTCTCTAGTCGTCGCAAGGATTAATTTCTCTTACATCTCCGACACGTATGCCCTGATCTTGCAGAATCCGAGTCCCAGCGCCCACGGGTACTGTTGCCAACACACGCTGAGCTCGTTCGGTAATCCTGAAAGTTGAACAAGCCACGATAACAGTCGGCCGGCCGGATTATGATCGATCGACACGGGTCTTCCATTTGAACGGCGTTTCGCGGCGCGACCCGACTGTTTCCCTTCGGTTGTTTTCAACGACACCGTTATCTGTGATTTATTTCCGCGCGCGCGATTGACGTCAAGATACCCGACGGCGGGAGAGGACGCGGCCCGCGACCCGACGATGCCGAGGCGCGGGTTTCTTCGTCCCGCCGGTACACAGAGGAAGACTCGTTTTCCCCCGAAGCAGATTTACGACGGACTTGTCCTAAGCTCGGCCGGATAATGAACACGCGAGCGTCACCGTGTTCCGCGAAAACCGGCGAGAAATTACGTCGCGCGGCGGCGTATTTTCGGAGGCGGGCGTCGACGCGCGTATTTTATCGGCCGACGACGATTCCCGCCGATCGGAAACGGGATCGCCGAGCCCCTCGAAACCTCCGCAAGGTCTCGATCAGCTACGGTGGTTTGAAATCCGAAGCCGGAATAATCCGCGCGTTCGCGAAACGCGGCCGGTGAAACGGGGAAAACTATTTTCCTCGTTCGATGTTCTCAGAAACCGGGCGAAAATCGCATAAATTTTATTCAACGTCGCCGCTGCCCGTAAACGCGCGTTTCCGCGATTTAATTACGAGATTCGCGCGGCGATTTTCCCTCGACAAAGGTGTTCGCAGCGCATAATCTAATTGCGTCGGATGTCGGCGAAATAAAACGCGCGAACGATGAAACAAGCGGCTGGAAAACTCGCGGAGAATCAGCGACGATCAAAATTAATGGAACCGACAGATGACCCATTTCGTTTGCCCATGGTCCCCGAGAAGCAACGAGCATCTACACGGGCACAGTTTATTGCTGTATAGCGATCGATGCTCGCTATCGGTATCGCGAATTTCTGATCGAACTCGTCGCGCTGGATCGCGCCTTATCTGGCGAACTACGCGATCTAGATCGATTCTTGGCCACCGGTGGATGGTAACCGAGTCCACAATCTACGACTGAACCTCGTGTATTAATGTTCTTCATTTTATTTTGTTCTATTTCAGTTTCGCAGTTCTATTGGGTTGGCAACTAAGTAATCGCCGATTTGTTCAATGAAATAAAAAATATTTTTTTACTTGGAACGAAGTTTAATCTGCAATGTATTTTCCATTTTGTTCGATGACCTTCTGCCATCTCTCCGACAACTTGAAAATTCCACGCTCACAGAAAGTCTGATCCTTTTCGGCCAAAAACTGAGTTAAGTGAGATTTTGCAGCGTCGTCATGATTAAAAGTTTTACCACGAAGGGAGTTGTCCAGGGATCGAAATAAGCGGTAATCCGATGGCGCGAGATCAGGGCTATATGGCGGGTGTAACATCAATTCCCAACCAATATCCGTCAATTTTTGCCGAGCGGACAAAGACGTGTGCGGCCTAGCATTGTCCTGCTGGAAAATGACACCTTTACGATCGACCAATTCTGGTCGCTTTTCCTTGACCGCTGCATTCTATTTGTCCAGTTGCTAACATTCACGGATAATAAAAAATAACATAATAATAATACTAATA